AACACTGACCAGTTGCAAATGCAACAATTCAATAATAAGAAGTTAATATTGTGGTATACATTACACACACTATTGTCTGATTTTGCTAAATTGTGTAGGTGAAAATATTACCTATAAAGCCACAGAAGAACGGTTGTGCATCTCCTAATAAAACACAAGTACAACGAGAGCGATTAGACAGCATTTTTAAAAATTTTGATATATATATATATATACAGTATATATTTATTTATGTTTTTTTTTTCTCCATAGTTTTTTAACATTCTAAAAGCTCTTTATTTCAAAGATACTACAAGCTAGACAGTGTATTCAGTAGGTGTAATGCATTCTAAGTTGCTTCAGAAGTATTGCAAGTATTACATACAACAATAAAACAGTGCATTGACATAAAAAAAGGAAATTTACTTTTGGTACTTAAGTACTTTTAAAAGCAAGTACTTCTGTACTTTTACTTAAGTAAAAATCTGTCTTTACAACTTTTACTTGTAATGGAGTAATATTTGACCAGCAGTATCTGTACTTTCACTCAAGTAATGGAGTTGAGTACTTTGTCCGCCTCTGCACAGGCTGACTGCCTCCATGCCACGCCGCATTGTTGCAGTAATTCACGCAAAAGGAGGCCCAACCAAGTATTGAGTGCATAGAAATGAACATACTTTTCAGATGCCTGACATTTCTGTTTAAAATATCCTTTCTTTTATTGATCTTATGTAATATTCTAATTTTCTGAGACGCTGAATTTTGTGTTTTCATTATCTGTAAGCCATAATCATACAAATTTCAAGAAATAAAGGCTTGAAATATTTCACTCTGTGTAATGAATCTATATAATATATGGGTTTCACTTTCTGAAATGAGTGACAAAAAATATTGACCTTTTTCACGATATTCTAATTTTTTTAGATGTACCTGTGTATATATATTTTGCTCCTTGCTGGAGTTCTCTCCCAAAATAAGTCAAAAATGGAGTACTGTCTTCTGGATGGTGATTTAATGGCATCTTTCCAGTGAGCACTAATGTGCATGTTCTGCTTTTGGCATTGCAGGACTTGAGCTTAGTATGAACTGGGGTCATTTTTTATGTGATTAATAAAGTGTATGTCCTAATTCAGCTCTGCCTGTGTTGTTTGATATTTACGTTTAGGATACTCTTTTAAATTTTGGGTATTATGGAGTTGGTTCAATTATGGGTTTTAGGATTTTTAGCCAGGAATGGCCTGTTTCATAAAACAAGTTTACCAAATAAGCCAGGTTTATTTAAGTTAGTCTGACATATTGTCAGTTGATTTGGTTCAAAATAAGTCAGACTAACTGAAATAAGCCTGGCTTATTTGGTAAACTTGTTTTATGAAACAGGCCCCAGGTATGTTCGAGAACTTTGTTTCCTGCTCTGAAAATGTTTTTATTTTCCATAAACCTGGAATCTGTTTAAAAAAAAAAAAACTCTCTCTCTATCTCTCTCTCATGGAGTGAGTTTGCGTGAGTGGATAGAATCTGTAATGCTAATATAATTCCTAATATTATTTCGGATCATAAAATGATTACAATAGGTTGTGTATTGTCAAAGCAATGTAAAGTAGGTTCATATTGGCATTTTAACAAAAAGTTGTTACAAGATGCTGGTTTTTGTGCAAATTTTAATTTATTTTGGCAAACATGGCAGATGCATAAAAATTATTTTAGAGATATTATACAGTGGTGGGAAGTAGGAAAAACCCAAATTAAAGTCTTCTGTCAACAATATACTCAAAAAGAAGGGGAAATATGATTGAACTTGAAAATTAGATTTTTGAAATTGAAAATAAAATGTTTGAAAGATATGAAAATCAATTACAAAATGTTATTATTGAAAAAAGAAGAATGTACTGCAAGAAAAAGTAAAAGGAGCTCTTGTTAGAGCTTGTTTTTCTCATATTAGGGATATTGGTGGACCAACATCCTTCTTTAGAACGAAAAGTGTGTCAAGAGAGACAAATGTTGTGTTTAAGGAATGATAGAGGTGACTTATTTTATGACCCATCTGAAATGAGTAAATGTGTTGTTGATTTTTATTCCAAGTTGTATGATATTGATATAACAGATTTAGACAGTAAAACTGAACTTTTAGTTCCCTTTCAGTCAGTCACGTTCGACGTTATGTCAGTCATGACTGACGAATTGGGATCTCGCCCGAGAGCCCAATCACCTTTGAGTGTTAACTAAACAAGCCAATGACAGTTGACGTGCGTGTTTCGCCACGCGCGCCCCGCCCCGCAGCGCGGGTAGAAAAGGAGCACATCAGCTTTTCGCTTTCGCTTGCATGACTGAATCTCCGCAAGTGTCTACGAGAC